GGCCGCATGAGGGAGGCCTGGGGTCAGCTCAGTGGTGTACAGGGGGTAAGGAGTCCAGGCATCTGGTGATGCTGGGATCAGTGCTGCCCCTGTGAGATCATCTGGGGAAGTACAAGGCAAGAGAAAAGAATGCTGACTGACCTAGCAGTGAATGTACAGGCTTGCATCAAGTAATCACTACAGAGACCAGCATTTTTAAAGGAATAAAACATGTTGCAAAATAAGGCAGATTCATCATGTAGCTTTTGGGTTTACCATCACAAAAGAGACCAGATTTTACAACCCTAACAGCACAGTCAGATCACATTCGTGGCTTATAACTAACCTGCTTCTTTCCCCATCACAAAAAGTAAAATACATAATTCACCATATTCCTGTTTTTATCTTGCTTGCTCCCATGTTTGTTTACAGCCCTCCGTGATGCATACTGCCCCCTCTTATTTCCTGCACCCCACCAGTAAAGTTCGCCATTCTGATCTGAAGGAAACTTGGCACTGCTGCCAACAAACACCTGTCTGAATCTAATGAATCAAGCAGGTGTTTAGGCAAAGAGAGCAGAGACAACTATTAACTAAACAGAGAGGAATTTCCCAGCTGGACAGAACCAAAGCAGCTGTCTTTAGAGTCAAGATGACACATGCATGTGGAGGTGAGTTAGTCTTCAATTTGTTAGATACCGTTTGTAATTCCTGCCCATTTGTCTCCAATACTACAGCCTTCTAAGAGATTTTATAAAGTGGAGAACTGGCATTGTCAAGGTGACAGTGGATGATGGAGCCTAGAGTTGTGCAGCCGTACAACTTACATGGGTCCCGTGCAATGAAGTGTGCTCCTAGAGCAGGGTGAATATTTGTGGGGTTCGGTGTGGCCATCAGTTTACTCTTTGCCATCTTCGTGTTGGCTTTAGCAAACTCTAAGCGCAGGGTCTGGGGACTTTCGGGGTCAAAACGGATACCCTGAGGGAGAGAGGGAGGAGGGGGACATGGTATTATAAGGGAGACCGATTGAGCTTGAGGGGCTGTAGCTCAGTAGTCTCACATGGCCTCCTTTCCTAAAGCCACGTTTCAATACACAGGATGTATCTTCCAAGTTCCCTTCAAGCTAAACATTGCTATGCTTTCCTGTGGGCGACTTTAACATCTGATTCTTTTTACCCAAATGAAACTGTTCTGTCTTCAGAAAAAGGGCAGCCTGAAGGATACACTCCTGAAATATTTCAACAGGCTTGCATCTCTTTCCTCGTGACAAAATTAAGAGCACAGGTGATTGAAGGCGGCGTTCACCCCGTCGCACAAGCCAGGAGGAGAGGGAGACGAGGAAAAGGGCCAGCGCTGAGACTGAGTGTCATTTCTTTTAGGTGGTTTAACCCTGCTTGTGTTCTTGTGCCCTAAGCGTTGTGCCCACATGCAGGTGAGTAGTAATTGTGTGTGTGTTGTGTGTCTGCTAGTGTGTCTAAAAGGTGATGCTCATAAGGAAGGCTAGGCTACAACAGAAGTGTTAGATACTGCCAACATGGGCTACTGGGTGACAAAATGAGGGGTTACACTACAGAAGATGTGTCCAAATAACTACTCATGTGGCTATAGAACAAGTATTACAATAAAGCAGTGAATAGCTAAACCAGGCTAAGAAGGATGTGTATCAAGGTTAAAGTAAACTACCGTAGGGCTAGGGGATTCTGGCCTCTTTCCAGAAATGGCCCTGCCATTGAATTATAAAAGACAAGATGGTTGGCTTTGAGAAACTGAATGAGAAAAGAATTTAACTCCCAATCACTCATTTTTAGGTTTAAGCCAAGATTATAATAAATCTAATACAAAAACCCCCCCAAAACAGAACTTCAGAAAGGGGGAAACCGATTCAAAAGAAATGTATCAAAAACAAGATGATGCTTACGTTTAGTGCATTTTTTGCAGCTTCAGCGCCAGATCGACAGTCAAAAGTTACAAATCCAACAGGCTGCAGGACAGGAGGAAGAAAAATTGAGAGAACTGGAAGGAGGATCTTAATACAAAAGAACATGCTTTTGGGGGGGGGGGATTAAAATATTATATGTATTCATCTTAATACATGGTAGGAAATCATGTTGACAATTCATCCATTTTCTGGCTCAAGCCAATGTTAATCTATAACAAAAAAAACAGAACACTGCCTAGCCACTTGTTTAGTATTTTAGAAGAGCATTAAAACAGTTACTTCCACTGATGGAAAGGCATCTCACCTGTTTTGATGTTAATTTAATCAGTGACCCTTCATAACCCTGCAGGGAAGAAAGACAGCCAGTTATCCACCCTGGAGTCACATGCAGGAAGTCAGGCATGAACCCCTCTTGCTATAGAAGGTGAAGAGAAGCCTGCTAGTGTGTAGCTTCAGCTCAAGTTCGACAAGGAGTGTTCAGAGCCTTCTGTGACAGTGCAGTACTTACACTTGTGCCGTAATTTTAAAATGAGAAATATACACGTTTCCAAACAGCTTTCACTGATTTGACTACAAAGTTCACTTTATCCTCAAAACTAAAAATGAAACTAGGTTTAAAGGGTAAAAGCATGTTATGAGATGAACAAGGTTCTTTTTTTAGCCCCAATTTAAGCTTCGATTGTCATAAAAAGGCAGTAAACAGCACCAGGGTTGGCTAAATTCCTGAGACATGAAGGGGAATTCTGCCTGACTAGAGTACTGATAGATGGGATCTCTTCTGATCCTGATTTATAGCCATGGAAAATGAAACAACTTTCACTAGCTGTGATAAATCCTTAGCCAGAACCCAAACCAGAGTTAGCTTCAGTAACTCAGAAAAAAAAGGTAGAATACATTCAATATTAAAAAGGTATCTTTTGAAACAGTTCATTTGCAAACCCTATCTTGTTTGCCTACTGTAGAATCAAAGGGAAAATGTAACAGAGGGTGAGCTTGGTCACGGAGAGGGTTGGTTGGCCAATCGTGAGGGCTACTCATTTACACATTCCACAAGATCATCCATGTGCAAAAGATACCACATCCAATTTGTGGAGTTAGAATATGTGTGGGAGGGGCGTTTATGGAACTGGACTCCAGTCAAAAAACAGAGCAACAGACAAACAATGATGTGGCCTCATTTCCATACATGTCAATATCCAGGATGACAGAGGGATTGCTCGAGTTCAGATACAAATGCTGCACTGATAAACTTCCTACTGTATGAGCTGAAGCAGCCAGTGCTGCTAAAAAGATTTAATGGCACACCTAAAGTCTTGAGGAAACAGCTGTAATCCAGACTAAAGATGTGCACAGAATGACTCTTTTCCAGCAACCGGCACAGAAACAGCTACCCTTATTTTCGAGGATAAAAGATCAATTTATATTTCAGTCCTGTCCCCCCCATTGCCTCAGGGCTTTACAATCTGTACAACCTATAGCATGTAACTTACCTTAAAAGGTCTGAAGAGGAGGTAAAGTTCCCGTGGTTTGATATCAACTGGTAGACCACTGACAAACAGTGTCCGTACCTGCAAACAAAACAAGATTGAATTTGGTCCTTTGGATGGAGCCGTCTAATCTTCATTTCTCTATAAAGAGCGGCATACAACAAAATCTATGAGCTGCACAAACAAAAATGCTTTTCCAACGTCTCTCAGCCCTCCTTTATAACCAAAAAAAAACCTGTACATACACAGTCACAGTATTGAGTACTGGAAAATTAGGAAAAATCCTGATTAAAAGGCTGAAACTCAGGCTCACAAAGTGGTTCTCTACACTAGAAGTGCTGCTGAATATTTAACCCTTTAAGACACCTTTTTGCTTGGTAATCCCTTAAAAATAAAGCTACAGGTACAGTACATCCTACTGAACCCTCAGTTTACAGGTTGAGAGCAGCCCGAGTGATTTTTCCCCACCAAAACTGTTCCATTTAAATATGAGACGTGAGAAGATATTATCCAGTAATGAATCAAGATTAGAAGAAGAAAAAAAGATTTTGCACAGTGAAATTTATTTTCTTCAGCTTGTTTTATGTCACATCACTAGACCTGGGGTGGGAACTAAGAGCCCTTGTCAAGAATCAAACAGCTAACTAGTAATAAAAAAAAATCCTTTAGGGTTGAATGCTTGTCAGCAGAACCAACAACAATCTAGTATTAAACACAGTGCACATCATACATCCTGCCTCTCCTTCAACATGTTACAAGCTAAACAGTGAGGGTAAAAATGATCTTCCATCTTGCCGGGGACCCCTGGACCTGCCCCGTCCGGACACAGACTTGACGCTATGTACCCGAAGAAATAAACAGCGCAGTGCGGGGTCCATTAGTTTTCAGCCAGTGGGGAGGCACCAAGTACAATGGGGCTGCCAGAGGAACAGCGTTGGACAACAGTGCACAGCATGACACCATTTCCTTCCTCTGACCCATGGCCCCAACCCTGCTGGCCCTCCAGCATTTTTCAGGTGCAGCACAGCAGCAATTCTCAGGCCAAGTCAGCACGTACAGCTGAACACACACTAAATGGAGAAGTTTTAATCTCTCCTCTGGCTTCTCATTGACTGAGCAGGTCTGGGTGTAGGTGTATGGACCCGACGCTGTGGTGAACCCCACACACCCTGCATATTTAGGTGAATTTCTAAAACGAGCTAATGGCTGACAAGACAATGCATCTAAAAAAAAAAAAAAAAAAAGGTTTTTAAATAGGCCTACACTTGTTTTGTTTGACCTTTGCTCATAATTACAATAGGAGAAAAAGACACCAGCAGATTATACTATAGAAAAAAGTGAAGTGGCAACACAAGGCTTTGTGGCAAGATAAAGGGAACAAAAGGGGACCAAGAAAAGGCCCGGCGCTCCCCTAGTGTTCCTTCATACAGAGTAGATATAGATGGCCACACAGAAGGAATGAGAAGTTAGTGAGGGCAGGAGTCGGCATGGATCACGAATTCAATTTAAAAAGATATTTAAATATGATTTACTACTATGCAGATGTTTTCATATGTTGCAAATAAAGATGTGTAATAGTTGACATTTTAGGCCTGGAGTAGGGATACTGAGATCAGCCTGCAGCGTTGGTGCTGTAGTTTGGCACCTGAACGCAAACAAACGCAGGCAAAGTCCCAGCAACAAACTGGGTGCTTAAAACTGAATTTCAAGGAACATTTCGCAAAAACGGGAAAAGCTGTACATTTATTTTGAACATTTTTCCAGTTCAGATAGTGCACTGATTTAATTTAACGCATTTTAAAATCTTTTTTTCTTTTACTTATGATGAGCCGTGTTTGCAGTGTAGTGCACATACGAACACGGCATATTTCATCGAGATAATGTTACAAAAGAGCGTGATTGGTCGTGTAGATTAAATTAAGTAACAGCCTGCAGCTGGGAATAACTGCTCATTTTAATCTTTAAAAAGAAACGTCACTGAAGGTTTGGGAATACACATTGTCGTTGGAAAAAAAAATATAGCAAAAGACATTCTCAAACTATTAATACCTGCAATGAGCCAAGTTTGCAAGACTCCACAGGAGGTACAATATCCACGTTTCTAGTTTGCGTCTTCCTTTTAAAACAGGCTGCTTCAGAGCGCAGCACGGGGCGAAAACCACATAGGGACTTTCAGCAAACAAAACAAAAGTGCAAAGAAAAAAACTGAATGTGCGTCCGGAAACCTTATCGGGATGTCTGGCCACCAACACGACCGGGTCAAAGTCCGGTCTAGCAATGAAACCAAACTTTAGCTAAACTCACCTCCTCTTCCATGGAAACGTTGTTATTCGGCTCCGCTTCTGCTTTGAGACTCATGTCGACGGTCGCTTCAGCTGCTGCACAAAGTATCAGGTTTTTCTTTGTCGGGTGATATTTGCCCCAAGTGCGTCGGAAGCTGCAGTGAAAGTCCTGGTGGCGTTTGAACTTGAGAGAAGATGTGCCGAGGTGAGGTCGTGCGGAAGAGGATGGCGGGGTATCCGAAGATATTTCAGGAGTACTAGTATTGCGAGAGAGAATCATTCATAAAATGGAAGCAAAAGAAATACTAACGCGTACTAAACTATAGGTGAGAAGGTGGACTTGTGCTCTGTGCGTGAAGGTGAAAGATGTGGGGGGGAAAGAAGTGCGCGTAAAAACAGAAAGCCTCTGCGCTCACATCAATGCCCTCAGCTGTGAGATTGTGTGGAGGAGGAAGAACAAGTAAACTTTTCTCAGCGGAGCGCGTCTCTCTCTCTCCTCCTCCTCCTGCTGCTTTTCAATTAGGTCATCAGTTATGTTGGAGTCTGCTGTGAGCCGTAATCAAGCTCCAGATCTGCCTCAGCTGTTGCAGGAAGACCCGGCCCCTCGGCCGCCACATCACCGTTTCCATGGGACCTGGAGAACCAATGGTGATTTACCACAACAATCCAAACTTAATATAATAATAGCCTTTTTGTAAACAGCCCAATATGTGAGTGGTATTTTGCTACAATAACCGGATCTTGTATTTCTAATGGTTATACTTCATATGCACAAGTTCCTTTTTGGTTTTACTCATTCAATTTGATTTTTTTGAAATCTTATCTTTTATTTTCTGTGCTGAAGCCTTTATGATAAGATCCGACCATCCACAACATTCAAGGCGATTTAAAGGGCTATTCATGAATTATTGTGACAATATTGGAAAGTTTACTCAAACATTTACAGTTCTGAGGCATCCGAGTCTTCCAGGGTTACACTACTGCGTTTCAGAGGGAAATATTGCTTGTTTTAGTGTCTAACAACCGTCACTAGTCATTTGGGAGGTGCTTATAAAAAAACTACCTATAATAAGCTTTAAAAAATACAAGGAACTTTTATACAGTAAATTAAAATTAAATTTTGGGTGAGTAAAATTAGTTTTGCAGCAGTCGGCTATAATATGATAGTGCTAGCTAACACATCAATAATAATAATAATAATTCAATATTGTATAATAATAATAATAATATAGCCAGTTTCGACTGTATTGTGAACATTTAAAGTGCATTTTGCTGACAATACTAAGATACTTTTATTTAAGTAAATAAGGTTTTGAATGAAGCCATTTGATAAAGATCTGGACACTGCTTCCATACCTGATTATTGATAACAGGATTATAAGTTGGATAGTTAAATCTAACAAATTTACAGTAAGACAGTGTAAAATAAAATCAAACTGACACTTTGTATTTTGCTATGTTTTTCTAGTATATTTTAAAACTATGTCAGTTTGTTTGAGAAGAGCATGATCTTGATCATGTACAGTTAATTGTGATTTACTTCCACACCCACGAATGAAAAACACATCATTTGGTACCCCAAAATAAATTACATTGCATTGCTGCATTGCTAAATCAAAGCATGATAATCAACCAGCCATAGGTTTATATTTATTGGGTGTGACTATGTTTGTTTCAGATGTGAATTCAGACAGTGGTGTAAAAAATAAATTAACTGACAGGTCTTGTTTACAGAGATATAAAATACATCCATACTGATGCCATTGCAAATATAAAGTAGTACATTAAGGATAATGACAGCAACAACAACAAAATAATAACAATACTTGCCCGTAGGAGTGAGTGTGTGTGTCTGTTTCTAAGTGTCAGCCCTGTGACAGAATGGCGACCTGTCCAGGGTGGCCCCCGCCTCTCGCCCCATGCAGCTGGGATAGGCTCCAGAAGTCAGACCTATCCAGTCCTACCCCATGACATCATCTTACCATCATTGGTTTGCAAGCAGGATAAGTGGTATAGATAATGAATAGATGGATAATAATAATAGTAATAATAGTAAATCACGTGTGTGTGTTGTGATTGTTTGGATCCAGAAGTGTGGCGTGGGTGGAGAAACGGCCTGCGTTGCATATTGAGGCTCGGCTCTGGATATGAGCCCAGCATGCAGTGTGTTTCCTGACAACAGGGCAGCTCTCAAAGGCCAGACAGTTTCCTGACTTTGTACAGGAACACAATCAGGCCTGTAGGGTGAGGAGCTGTCGAGCGGACCGACCTATAGTCACTGCACTTCTTCAGTGGTCTGATCTAAAAATAGTGAAGCCAATGTGTTTCCAACATGTTCCCATACATACTGAACCCATGTGCTATACTCTGTGTACATAGAGACAAAGTGGGATCCAGCCGGCCGATGAGAGGAGATGTGTCTATTAAGCAAGCATGTACAAAGTTTGTGTCAAATAAGACATTCAACAATGAAAAATAATATGTATTTATACCAGTGTTATTGACTTAATTTTAGATTAAGTCAAAACACTGATTACATGTTATCAAATCTGTCACTTGATTAGATGACAAAATGAATCGGCAACCTGCTTTGACAATCAGTCAGTCAAAAAAAGCCAAACACTCACCAGTTCCAGCTTTTCACAAGTATATATTTATTGCTCTCTCCTCTTGCCTTGAATCACTATAAACTGAATATCTTTGGGCTTTGGGTTATTGATCTGACGTCACCTTGGAACAGGAGCTTGTGGTGGGTATGTATTCACTATTTTCTGACATTTTATAAATCACATTGATGAGATTATCAGCATACTAATTGCTAATCATTAGTTGCAGTCTCAAGTGAAATAATGGCAAAAAGAAACTTGCCCTGGTTGATCTTACAAATTTTAAAATTGTACACAATTCTAAATGATTCAATAGGGCAGCATCTCCCTGAATCAGGCAAGTTACATGCATGTACTTTAGAAAACACCCACTGTGCTAGTGTCCTAACCGTTTTGGTAGATTTTACTGAAGTATTACTATTAAATTAAATGAGAATAAAGCTGGAGACAGTGGTGTTAATTTAAACACTGATAACTGGGTTAGATTATGATGACTGGATGCATACACTTGATGCTTGTCTTAGCTGGTGTGGTGGGGTTTTTTTTTTATGTTTGATGCTTTGCATTATGGTCAAACCTTTGTACTGCAAGACACATTTCCCTTGTGGGAACAATAAAGTTGAAGTTGAAAGTAAAGTACAGATTTGTGTGTTTAAAAATAAACCACAAAAGATCTGGCCCTGTACCGCCCTCGGTCAGCAGCTGTACTTGAGTTTTGAATGACATATATTATGCTTTGTTTGTCCTTTTAATAACACTTACTGCCTAGGAAATACTGACTGTGCTGCTGAGTGATCGACAATTTATTCAGCATGTGCAGCTTGTACCGTCTGTACTATGGTTTTAATGTGCAGGAGGCCACCATGATTATGTGCCTCATCCTTGGATTCAGGACTTATTGCATCAAACCTCAGCTACTTAGTATTTACTAACAATTGTTCATATGATATGACCATAAAGCTGCAGTACACCTCCCTCAGGTTTGCAGAGATAATTCAAGATTATCAGCAAATTTGTGATTCTGTAATCTTATGCCATACAATTTTTGTTTTGTACAAAAAGGTTATTCTGAGCTTGTCCTCTGTCTATGCCTCTTCTCACAACTCCAATGCAGCTTTCTAAAAATGCTAAAACTGGTTCAAAACAATCAGTGGTTTAATAACACCAACCACCGGGATACAAAGGTTTAAAAAGTAAAAACGGGTCACTCACGCTCTGAAAGTTTTATGCCCAAAGATGTAACTGCCATCTTCTCTGCCAAAGATAACTTTACGTAGATGTACTGTACAAACTATGTCTTAGTCATACATCTCTCCAGTTGGATTTAAAGGAATGCTTTATGTTGTTTGGAGTGAAATTCAACAGACTTCTTCCTTCTAAGTGCTGGCGTAAAGGCTTTACATAACTGTGGGCTGAGATCAAGTTGTCTTTGTTTGTTTAGACTTAATGCATTGCACCAGAACTGTCAGCACCTTATACTCATCACATTGCTGCTGTTCCTCATAAACTGAAGAAACTAGGGGAAATGTGTTTTTATTGACAAGCTGGATGTCTTCCTTCTGCTTTTACACCATGGCTATAGTTCCATGTCTGGTTCCTAAATGGTTCCAGTTCAGACAGCTGTCATGTCCAAAACATTTCAAAAGAAATACTTTTTTTCAAGCTCTATTTTAATCAAATTATTAGTATTAGTTATAGCTGGGCAGTAGTTTACTGTAGGCAAGGCAACTTTATTTATATAGCACATTTCGTACACAGAGGCAATTTCAAAAAAACAAAAAAAAAAACAACCCCTAAACAAGGCAATAAAAAAAACCTACATCAGTGAGTTTCCCTTTTAAAATTGTAAAATTGATTCTGAGAGGCATGAATAAATGAAACTATCTAGCATTTGAAAATAAAATGCTGTGAGGTTAATTAAAATATTTCACATTGTTCTGCAAAAGCAATGCCCTATTCAGTTCCCTCTTACATTCATGTTTTACTTTTTTTTTTTTTTTTTTGCCTTTATCAATTTAAAAAAATAAAATGAAGTTCTTAAGTCACTTTACAAGACATGTTATTCTGTGGTTTCTGTGAGCTGAAGCATTTTGCCTTTTAAACCCAACAGTCTCAAAGGTGGTTTGATTCTGCCAAACACATAACTTTATTTGACATTAGTGCAAAGCACAGTTTCTGAAAGTATAAATAAGTTAGATATAATTTTGGGTGAAAAATGTATGTATAAAATAATGCATAAGATTTGTAGAAAATTTCCAGTAAACGATCTGGCACAGCCAAAAGATTAAATCTTAGCTTTGACTATTTCATTTAATTTGAAAAATTATTTAGCTTCACTTAGAAGCTAAATAATATTAAAGCTACTTGAGGTGAAATAAAAGTAGAAAATTTGATGTTAAAAGGTTAATAAAATTTTGCATATTACAAAAAGCAAAACCAATCAAACAAAAAAACCCTAAATAATAACCATTATTATATATTTTCCCTTCCCAGTGAATTACCCTTCACTGTATTCATCAGCTAATCCTGTAAAGGAGCATTAAATCACATTTTCCCATCCCTCTTTCTACCCACAGACACCTGATAGAAACTGAATGTTTAGTTCAGAGGTTCTGAATAAGCCTCATGTTTTATTTGTGAAAAGTGGCCCCATTGTCCCAAAAGCCACCTCACACAGCACTCTTGTGCTTCACGCCACATTGAGCCTGTCTGACTGTGTTAGCATCACCTGCTGCTAAAGCACTTAGCTTGTGTTCTCCATCTCCTCTGTGGTACAGCCAAATATCCATTTGGAGGTCTGAGGAAACTGAAGCATTTCCACCTACACAATAAGTGAGGGAGGTGCAGGATGCATTTGTGACATTTTGTGAAAAGTTTGTCCAATAAATAATCGCCTTCATAAATACATTAAAGTAAATC